CCCGAAGGGGCGCCAAACCCGCCCCGAAGGGGCGCCAGAATGCGCCCTGAAAGGGCGCAAAGAGGCGCCCCTCCCTGATCCCGCGGGGATTTTGGCGCCCCAATCACCAAAAAATTTTCGCGCTCGCTTCGCTCGCGGTGTTTTTCATTACCTCTCTGTAGCCACGACTTCATGCCATATGCTATATGCTTCTATTTTCTAAACATAACAGTTACACATCAAACTTCGTCGGCTGCCACTTTCTCGCGCTTTTAAACGATATAGAAGATAGGATATTGAAAAAATATAGCACATTTCTGTATGACTCTTTTTGAGAGGAGTGGGCGGGAGATAGTTGTTTGCGCCTGTACTTCTTAATACACCGGGAAAATTTGGGGGAAAGTGCCTTGAAATAAGGAAAAGTGGAAATGAAACCATGTGTTTGAGAAAACCGCAAAAATATTTTTTTCGTTAATTTAAAAGCATTTTTCTTTTCTTTTTTTTTGGGGGGGGGGGCGCTAGTCACCGTAGGGGGGCGCCAAAAAGATCGGATAAGCTGTCCCCCCCTGGCCAAAAAACGTTCCTACGCCCCTGCGCGTAAATGCCTGACGATTAGAGGCCATTAAAATGGGATGCGTTGGGGCGTGCATGACAGGACGACGCCTATATCCCGATACATCACGCCCGCATGCCGATGATCGTCAAGCTCCTCGGCCTGCTGCGCGATGCTTCGCTGCGCGCGCGGGGCTCGAAGCGAGAGTGGTACTTCACTCAAAAATCAGTCTACATCCAACCCCCAAAAAATCAGGAAAAAAACCCAGAAGAAGTCAAGAAAAAATCAAAAAAATGTCAGGGGGCAAAAATCAAGAAAAATGAAGAAGAAACAAAATCAGTGTAACGATTGTATTTATAGTAATGGACCCTTCGGATCGAAGTCCATTCATGGCACCGACCACATGGGGGAAGTCCACCGCTACGTCTGCTATCGAACCCCGCGTGGCTCCGTGTTCCTCTGTCACTGGCCTCCCCCCGACAAGCGGAGCCGTCACCCGCGCCACCCGCCGCCGCCGTCCCCCATGGCGTGCCATCAGCGACGGGCACGCGATGTGACATAGGGGAAGTCTCATGACGCATCCTTTAATTGTTTGTTGACCCCCTCCTCCTCGCCCCCCTTATTTTTAGCTTCCATCACTCCCCGTGACGTCTTCTTTTGCAGTGATTACAGGAGGGACTTGTTGACTGGGATAATGGAACGTTATTGGAACCCAGCGGCGCGTGTGACGTCGATAGGCCGATAGGCAAGTGGAGCTATTAGAGTCCGTCTCTAGCGTGCGCGTGAATTTGATGTGTTGCCAATACGTACGCGCCACGCGCGCAGATCTATTTTTCGTTTTGTTTACGCCGACATGACGTTCATACCTCATACTTTTATGTCGAGTCAGAGAAGACTGTGAGTGACGATGAATTATTCAGGAAATAAATGTACTTTGTGCGCGATGGTAATCATAATGGGGCCAAACGACAAAACACACACACATTCAAACAAAAAAAAGGTAGAGCGCTCAATGAGAGAGGGGGATAAGATGAAAAAAAAAAAAAAAAGAAAAGGGAAGGAAATCTTGTTCCCTCTCTCGGGGTTTGATGACATCCTAAGGACCTCGGCATTACAAGTCAGTCCGTCCGTACACACCGAGGGGCATACCGGCTCATCATGCAATGCGGGGATTAGTGAAGGCGCGAGCCTTAGCGGGGCGGGGCGGGGTGGCCGCGGGGCCGCATGCAGCGGAGAGCATCGCGGTGCACGAGGACGGCCCGGAGCGCTGAGAGCTAGTTGTTGAACGTCGCGCCGCCGATGAGCAGTTAGTCGTTGCGCCCGACGGGCAGCTGCACGACACGGGAGTAGTAGTAGAGCAGCAGCAGCGTCGTCGTAGTGACAGAGAGGGTCCTTACAGCTACTGGTAGCGCCACGTGGCTCTCCAGCGTGCTCCAGCGACACGGCCCCGGTCGTGCACGACGCCGTGCTGCTGCAGGCCGTGCGGGCGCAGGCTCCTCTGCTGCTGGCGTCGTTACGAGGACATTAGCCCAGCAGACCATCTTCATCTCGGTCTGAGTGCCCTTCGGCGCCGCGCCGACCCTGCGGGCCTGCGGGGGGAGAGATGATCCTGCGGTGCGACACCTTCTTAGGGCCGCCGCGCCGACTCTCCACTCCGCTCCTCTTGCTTTATTTGCCAACACGTCGGGAGCTGTTGGGCGCAAAGGGCATGAAAGCGGATTGGGGAGTGACTGCTGCGACGTTTGGATGGCGGGACGCGCATCTCTCTCGGCCCCACGGCCCTGTCCTCATCTGCCGCGCGGTAAACCGATAAAAACTGACGAAACGAACGCAGACCGATACCAGAGGGTTATTGGGGAGGCTATTAAAGTGCCGACGAAAATACGAGCAGTCCAAGTCGGGGACCGCCCCTTTCTGATCAGCGGGAAGAAGACAGATTGTCGGTCTCGCAACCCAAATGACATTTTTGACTAAGATAGGAGGTAAAAATGCATGGCAGACAGACCCCTACAGGTTTCTTATTTACGCTGTACCGCCTATGCAGCCGTGCGGGCGGGCTTGCCCACTGTCTCGGCGCCTCATGGCCCCTGACGGGTAGGCAACGCTTACACACGCGTGCGTGCGATACAGTCTACCTGAATTGTGCTCGGGGGGTCTGTGCTGTATGGGCATTCATTAATGGACACCGCTATTTGCTATTGGTCAGAAACAAGATTTGCATCCTCGAGGGCTGCATCTGCATCACCTGCTAAGAAGACTCCAGACTGGAAGGCAATCGAGCCCGGAGGCCTGAAGTATCCCCCAACCTGGACCTCCAGTCCAGGAAAGCTTTTCAGGGGCGCGCGGAGTCTAACGCCCTCCTGGACCTGGAGACTGAAGGGCAGTCAGATCCTGGCCCGGAGGCTGCAAGTCTCCTGGAGCTCCAGGCAAGCCTTCCAGTGGGCCCGGCGGTGTCTGCACGGCTCCTGGAGCTGGAGGCTGCCCGGCGGCGGGCGGGCCGGGTGCGAGCGCAAAGGATCCGTCACGGGGAACAATGCTCGCCGGTGGACAGCCTCTCCATGGGCGCTCACCGAGATTTGCGACTTCCTCGGCTGAAAAAGGAGAGTAAAAAGCGGAGAATCGCATATTGTTTCTGCGCCGCGCTGCCGCCGTTGCCGCTGCTGCCGAGCCGAGGCCAAGGAAGGCGGAGAGAGGAGACAACCCTTTACCGAGGCAGGTCACTTTGTTTTCTGCTCGCACCGAGCAGAGCCCAGCCACGCCAATGGCCAGCCGATCCTCCTTTGTCCGAGCACCGTCGGCCGTGGAGGAATTTGACTACAGTTTGACGAGTGCCTCTCTCGACTTTGACAGGAATAAATCCCCCCTCTGCTTGCCCGCGCCCCAGGGTAGTGGGAGAGCGAGCGAAAGAGAGAGAGACAGACAGAGAGAGAGAGACAGAGAGCGAAAGGGAGAGACAGAAAGAGAGGGGCTGTCAGGGGCGGAGGCGAGCGGGGCACTCCACCCATGTGACTTGTGGACGATGCCGAAACAGGCCCCGTGCGTTCAGGTCTCCGCGCGGCGCGACGCCAACGCCAACCCGCCGCCAGCCTTGAACTTGCCCTCCGCGAGCCTGTAGATGTTCATGTTCAGGCTGAGCCGGCGCCTCCCCTCCGCGAGTCGATCACACGACGCCCCTGAATGAGTGAGTGACTGCATGAATGGTCCGGCGGGGCCCTGCGGGGGGCGCGGGCGGGCTCGGGGGCCCCCGCCTGCACCTGCGCGGCCCCTCCCGCCCC